TTGCACATTTTCAAATTAAACTAGGGTGCAGCAGTTCAAATACCCCATCTCTCCACTTTACATTTCAACTAAAACAAACCCCTCTCCTTTTATATCAGCCAATAAAACCCATGGGTCAAGTACACATAGTTCTATTTACATGGTTAATTTTTACCCAAAAGCTGACTGAAGAACAGTTTCCTGAAGGGAGAAGACATTAAAGGAAACAACAAACAAACACCACCAAAAAACCAACTTCAACAACCCTGTGCATGTTCCTGACTGTTCACTCAAAGTTCATTTCAGTGACACAGAGCTGAAAGACTGTAGGTTTGAGAACCCCAAAACATTTCAACTGAAGTGTGAAGAAACTGTGTGAACAGTTACCTGCTGGAAGTAATATCTTAATTCCATTAATAACAGTTAATTAAGGGTAGGCGTTTTAATAAATATTGGTTGTGATCCCCCAGCAGAGAAAATTACACCACCAACATATATTCCTGTGAATGGAATTAACTTTATGACATATTAAAACCTTTTCAATTGCACTGTTTTAGTGTCTGCTTCAGTTTATGGTTTAGAAGAAACTTCTAAGGTACCATCATAAGATTTTATGTATTACCACTATCTGCCAAAAGTTATCCAGATCCTGACTTTACAGTCAGATCTGCAAAAATGGGAAATGGTGAAAGTATCTGGACCGTACTACTCAGCAATATTAGAGTCTGCTTCAACTCCCCACAGAGGATGCAGGTACCGTGTTCAGACATGGCAGTTCCTGCACTGACCTGGGCCTAACCCACACCTACCCTCCAACACCTTGCAAAGACTAATAAAATAACCTGCCATTCAAATCAATACAGCCCAAAATTTGCCTGTTATCATCCCAATTCCTTGACATTCATAACTTATGGATACGTTAGCCCATAGTTACAAATATCCCTTACCTTACTGTGTATTACACCAGTAGATTACTGGAGACTCAGGCTGGCTGATGTATTAATGCAGCACGTTGTGAGAGCACCAGCTCACTCTGATGGTGTTCAGGGACCATACAGATGCTAAGAATAAAGCACTTCAATGATGTATGACTGTAACAAGGGTACAGAGATGAAGAAAAAACACTAGCAGGAGCAGGTTTTGTTAATATATACTTTAGAATGTGAATTTAGTATTAACGATGGGAAAAAAAGAGGGGTTGATTGGTCGAATCATTAGACAAGGCTAGTTAGCACAGAGGAGAGGAAAAAAAAAAACACAAAACCCCCCTCAAAACAAACCCCAAACAAGCAGAAAGAAGTTATTAGCAACATCTTCACTCATCCTGCAAAAGCTAAATTTCACATCATTAAGATGGCCCAATACCTCAGTTAAAACTGTCTAAAACTCATTTTTTTGCATGGTCACTTCCTCCTGAGTTTCAGAAAGACATAAAACTTGGGTTTCAGTTATAGAAAGAAAAAAAAAGACAAAAAAGATTAAAAATTCTCATTAGAATACCCAGAACTACAAACCCCAATATGTTTCCTAAGCAATGGTTCCCATTAAATACAAGAACAAAAGCAAACATTGTCAATCACCTGGGCAGGTGGAACATCAGTAACGCTTCAACGTAATTTTGCAATGGACACTTGACACATCACCACAACATTGACAGGAAGGGGTTGAGCATTCTGACATTAGCAGGTGTGGATTACTGCATGAGCACTCAGCCTCCAAATATGTGCTGTTCATAGAGGAAAGTTAACGTGTATTAGCAGAGCAAAGAAACACAAGTAAAGACGTTTTCTCTTTTGTTTCACTTGAGAGCTACAGAAAACACCTCTTACTAATATTTCATATTTCAACAGTAGGATACTTTGAGCAAGAAAGCAGTACTGTCAGCAACAAAGGAAAGTCTCAAAATCAACTGTACACAGAAGAAAAATCAACAAGGAATTTACATTTGAAGTCATAATAAACACATAAATAAATAAATAAAATCAGTGTTCGGTTACATGATGTAGTTTTACTCTTTACAATTCCCATGCTTAGATACACAATTTAGAAGAACCAGTTACATTTTTAAAAATTCAACCAAATACAAAGTAAAATATTTACACAAGTACAAATATATCAAGTCTCTCTTCATTTTTACAGCATAAAAAGCTAAACAACTGAATATACTTTAAACCTGTAGCAGACTTGTAAAAGTTTTTACAATAATAAAGCAATTAAACATGACACCTCATGTGAGAAGAAAATTATTAGCTGACAGGAAAAAAAAATAGGTGAATATTTTTGATGGCAGGACTGTGCCACTGGACATTTTTTGAGTAAGTACTATGGCATGTTAGCCTTTAAGAAACACACATGGGTCACTGGATCAGCATAATTACCTTCCTCACTTCCTCTAAATAAGAAAAGTGCAAAATCCCTGAATAACAGCATCAATTGTAACTACAGTGTGAAAGCTTTCAAAAGAAAATAATGGCTGACTCTACTTGCAGTCTTTTCACATAAACAGTTCTAAGAACCTATTATGTTCTCAGAGACTGAAATCTGCAAGATGCTGAACATCTCCCCTCAGAAGGAAAGGTGACAGCTGTGAATATCTGCTTTGGAAGGTTGTTGGTTTTGGTTGAGGTAATTTTTTTTCACTGTAGCTAGTAGGGGACTGTGGTTTGGATTTGTGCTGAGCATAATCATGACAAACAGATGTTTTTATTATTGCTGAGCAGCTCTAACACAGAGTCAAGGCCTTTTCTCTTCATGCAGCCATGTTAGCAAGGGGGCTGGGGGTGCTTGGGAAGTTGGGAGGAGACACAGTCAGGACAGGTGACCCCAAATGACCAAAGGGATATATCATCCCATATGATGTTATGCTCAGTATATAAAGAGAGAGGAAGAAGAAGGAAAGGCAGGATAGAGTGATGGTATTTATCTTCCCAAGTGGGGCACAATGGAGCGCTGCTTTCCTGGGGATGGCTAAACACCTGCCTGCCCCTGGGAAGCAGTGAATTGATTTCTTGTTTTGCTTTGCTCATATGCACAGCTTTTGCTTTCCCTATTAAACTGCCTTCATCTTAACCCAGGAGTTTTCTCACTTTTACTCTTTCAGTTCTCTCCCTGACCCCACTGGGTGGGACTGAGTGAGTGGCTGTGTGGGGCTGAGCTGCCAGCTGTGGTTAAACCACGACAGTTCTTTTTGGAGCTCAGAAGGTTTGAGGTAAGGACAGATTTGACTGAAATATGTTAGATGGAATTTAACTGCTGCTTGGTTGCTTTGAACAGCCTCTTGTGCTTGCCCTGGGCTCGACTGCCCTACGGTGTATGAGAGTCTGAGCTCATGAGTGGCTGCTTTTTGCTTTCACTGCTTGCTGTGCTGCTGATCACCTCACTCTGCTCTTCCTGGGAACATTTTGATATCAGCAATGGTGATGCACAGGGACTGGCAGATGGCTGGGGCATGGCTGCTGTTTGTGATGCTGTGCTGGACTCACTGGAACCCCAGTGTGAACACAAGTCAATTTTGTTCAAGAGACAAGAACCTGTGGATAGTCCATAGGGATATCCACCTGCAGCCCCTGGAGAACCCATGCCCAAAGGAGCAGGTGGATGCCTGAAGGAGGACATGACCCTGTGGGAAGCCCACACTGGGACAGGGTCCTGGCAGGACCTGTGGAGCCACAGGGAGAGAAGCCCACACTGGAACAGGTCTGCTGGCAGGACTTGTGACCCCATGGGGGACCCCCCTGGAGCAGCCTGTTCCTGTGGGACTGCACGCCGTGGAAGGGACCCACATCGGAGCAATCCATGAAGAACTGCAGCCTGTGGGAAGGACCCACAACCCCATGCTGGAGAAGGAGAGGAGGTGTTCCAGCCATTGGAGCAGGGGTTCCCCTGCAGCCCCTGGGAAACAGAATTTCTTTGCTTTGCTCACGTGTGTGGCTTTTGCTCTCCCTGTTAAACTGTCTTTATCTCAACCCAGGAGTTTTCTCACTTTGACCCTTCTGATTCTCCCCCACTGGTGGGCCAGTGAGGGAGCAGTTGTGTGGTGCTCAGCTTCCAGCTGGGCTTAAATCACGACAGAAGCTCTGATGTACAGGAAACAATCTTTGGTTTTAGCCTACAAACTTCACTGTGCTGTTGTCAGTAAACAGTGCTCAGTCCAGGCCTCCTAAAACACAGTCTTAAAGAATAAAAATTACAAATAATTTCCATCCTTCCTGTTAGCTTGCACTGGTTTCAGCCAATAGACTAAAATTAAGGTGGGAAACAATATGACTACAATAAAAAGTACAAGGATTTAGTTGATTGGGAAAATTCTCTACAACCTCATGGGATAACATATATTTAGAAATATGCTTCTATTTCAGTATGAACAGTATTGAAAGTCATTTGAGCAATCAAAAGATAACTCACTAGCAACAGACCCAACATGAACTTACTTCAGATCATGCTGAAGAGCAGCATCACTGATACACTTCAAGCCCAGATTTTTCAGTGAACTACAAAACCACTTAAAAAAGCATTTATCAAATAGGGTTGTAAAATACTTTTACTATCTCTCAGTTTTTCTCTACAGAAATAAATACAAAGGTTTTGCTCTGTGTAAAAAAGGTATAAAAAACACTTTAAACTTGCAGTAACACTACCAGATCAGCAGAAGTGAAGCAGCAATTAAAATAAAAAAGAAAGTAGAAAATTGGTTCCCACATCATTTACCTTTCAAGTGTCCAAGTCAGCAAGGCAGTCTTCTTACCTAACTGTATGCAACACAACATGTGTTATGAATGCCCTTCAAAGCAATCTCCCACACAGTCCTAAATCATGGCTTATGATGAAGAGATGTGAATGTCCTACCAAGCCTTTACTGTGCTTCCAAGTTATTCCCCAAGAATTTTAGTCTACCTGTTCGTATCAGCTCCAACTGACTTTTTACTTACTGCATTAAATTATTTCTTATAAACTTAGGTAACAATAAACATTTATTAAAACAAAAGGAATTGTACTTTCAAGTCTGACAGCCTCTTAAGGAATTTTTTTTTGGTGAAATATAGGGTACCCATCCTCATACAAACATGTCATTTACTTTCACACCACTCACTCACTAATATTAGTAATAAATTTTAGCTTTCTGTGGTATATGTTACTTTCCCTTCACACAAATAGGAAAGAGTTTCCTTTCATTTGTTGATAATAACCTTTTACACCCACTCTATCGTACCAGGTGAAAGCTCTGGAGTTTGTGTGTGTTCTGGAGTCCCATTCCACTTCCAAGCAACTTCACCTGTTTCAACCTGTCCTCCTTGAGTCTCAGTAGTTTCATTACAAACAGTTTGAGATTGCAGTGATGGCTGTCCTTGTTCAAGTTCAAAATTCATAATAAGGGAATCAACCAGAGAGTCCAGCTCATCCAGGTTCATAAAAGGTCGAGGTGTCTTCTGGATAGGATTGTTTGCAGAAGACAAGGCAAACAAACTGAAATAGTTGTTAAAATATCCACCTATGACAGAAATATTTTCTGCAAAGCTCCTGAGGGGGCTTGTGTTTCTGTACAACCCTATGACAAACAGAGACAAGAATAACCAAATGCAGCATTTTGCGAAGTGAGGCCAAGTTGTCCTCCCTCTTGCCTCACAGGTCTCCTGTAGCCCACAGGTTACCAACAAGACAGGTGATAACCCAGATAAATACCTTGTAACAAGGAAGAAACAACTCGACAGACTTCAGTTAGGCACTGCTCCAATTCCAAATATTTCGCAGCAATTTTAGTGCTTTTCTTTATTTCTCGATACAAAGATTCTTCCTCCAGTAACTGAGATTCTATTTCTTTCTGTATTATTAAATAGCAGTTAAAAAAGAAAAACAAATACATGACAGTATATTAACTAGTAAACATGCCTATTATGGATTCAGTCATGTACAACAGGGCAATGCTGAAACACAAAATCAAGCTGACACGAAGTCACACAAATAAGATAGCACCAGAAAGAGTACAGGTTGTTGATGGGGTTAAAAAAAGGTAAATGAAACTAAAATCCATAATAAGCTTGGCACTTAGAAGATAGATTAAATGATCTCTCCTGGTTTTTAATTCAAAATACCAATAACTGTTGCCATAAACTATTGCAGAAGCTGTAATTCACACTGGCATTACTGAACTTAAAGCTTTCAACTTAAAAGAAAACACAAGAGGTGGTTATGCTTATGATGAGAGCAAAATGAAGATAAAAGTACCTCCAGAAATACTTTAAGTAAAATGAAAATCAAAGAGTTTTGAGTGGAAATGCAGTAGCCAGAAAACTTAGCGTTCCAATCACACGAAAGCTGCTGAGACACGAAGTGTTATCATGCAAATGTAAACACAGAGAAGTTAATTTCAATTCCTCTTCTTTGATAAATGTATCCTTAAAATTTAAATGCCAGACTCAAAGCACACACATTTTGCAAAGCATTTCTCTTACCTTTCTGCAGTAAGAGATGTTATTTTCAAGCAATCTGGCTAATGCCACAACGTTATCCTTTATCCGATTTTGAATCTACAACAAAACTTTCAATTATGTTGTACACTTGATTGAAGTCAGAGTACATTAATGTTTTAAAAGGATAAGAGTGAATACTGCTACACTATTAAGAAAAATACTCTAAAGCAGAAATAATGTTTTCCACAACATAACATGGAATTTTTCAAATGTTAACAGGCTGCTTCTTCCTCTACTCTCTCCTATGTGTATCATCTGATATCATCTACTTCATGATTTACCACCTAAGTAAAATGAAAGCACAAAATAATAGACTGCACCTTAGAAAAACCCACTATGATCAAGTTCCTCCACGACAGAGTAGTTTTTAATCTTACTTTCATCTCACCTCATTTTGTGGACGTTGTTTCACAAGTTTTTTCTGTACTGTTCTTGCTCTCTCCTGTACAGTATCAATGAGGAACTCCAGTCCCGAGCCTACTCCATCATAAATGGCAAGTACAAATTCCTTTTAAAATAAAAAGTTTCAAAATGCAATGATTAAAGAAACTGATTTGGTCTTAAAAATTTAAATTAAAGCAGATTTTCTGTAGTGGGCTAGAAACAATTTTGGTTTCAGCAAATTGTTCAGTGCAGGTCTATTCAATCACATGTCATTCTTGGACCACTGCTATTCAGCACTTTAACCTCCTTCTCCTAACTTTGTTCAGACTTCTGAAAATTCAATATGGTACTTAAACACAGATTACTGAAATATAAGTATTGAATTTCAGTGAAACAGGTAGATTTGTATAATTTCAGTGCAGATACAATCCTAAGAGCACAGTATTTCTTTCTCTTTATAGGTGTAAGTTGCACAGATTTAAAGTGCAGTTTTTAAGGGGAAAAAATATCAAGGGTATTAACATATCCATTTTCACCATAAAAAATGAATGTACTATATGTACTTAATTCACTTGATGAAGTTGTTATATGTAACAATTTGCTTCTGAGCACAGTTACTGATAATAAGTGGGAAGCAACATTAAAATAACTATTCACAATTACTATTTCTAATAAACATTTTTTTTTTACCTGTAGATTAGACACGGGAATATTGTTCTCTTCAGGAAATGAAATATCAGCTGTTGTGACTACTGCCAAGTGTCCTATGTATTTCATTGTTTGTTTTACTGTTTGGTTCACTTTGCTCCAGGCTTCTGTTACCATCGAGGATATATCTGAAGAACACCCCTGAGAAACAAAGGCACATCATCCACTGAAGCCTAGAAAGCACCTGTGGTCACACAGTTTCTATAATGCAAGAGTTCATAGCACACAATAGTTTAAGGAATTTTTAGCTTTACATCTTCCTAATCACAATGACTTATTTATCAGAGCTAAAAGACTGTGCCTTGCAACCACAGAGAAAAAAACACAGTTAAGAAAAGAAATAAAATCTTCCCAAGGTTGTAGCATGAAAAGGGTAATACTGGCCACTGGTTTATACATTTATAAACAGCAGCACTTCACAGTCTAAACCAGCACTTGCTCTTGCTTCTGCATATTTTCTTTTACCCTTTCATGAGTAAGAACTAATGCTATTGTCCTGGGCACAGGAAGGTCTGCATTATTCTCAACCAGCACATGGAAGTATCAGTTTAGCCAGAAAAAAACCCCACACCCTTGGCCATTAATCTTCCTCAGGTGTGTCCATTTGTCACTGCATGCATTGGACATTTAGGTGTTTTTATCAAGTCTGTAGTAAATACTGCTTTAATGCATAGAAGTTCTCTGTACACAGAGGAATTCTTTAATATGCTTTACCTGCAACAGTAACTGTAAATAACCTCCCAAGTTCTTGATTTCCCGTTTCATTTCTTCATCAACCTTTATAGATCCAGGACACTTTTGGATATTGTTAAGCCAGAGTTTGCTTAGAACCACAATCTGGTCAAAAGCAGAGATAATTCTGATGCTGTAGGACTGAGCAGCAGGATCAAGATTGAAAACTACAAGAGAAGGATATTGATCAGATCTATCTCCTTGGCAAATTAATGGAGGAATATTAATTCTTGTGAGATACAAACACACAAATGCTTTTGAATCTGGAAGTCATTAGTAATGTTTAAACTCTTGTGAAAATGAGACTTACAGTTTTCTTGACATTCTTCATCTTGCTGTTCATAGGCTTTTGAAATGGCAGACACTCCAGAAAAAATTATAAACAAGTTACTTAGGAGATTGTCTGCTATGCTTTTTCCTGCTTCATGATTCTGTTCCAGTAAATCTAAAGCTGAACTTATAGATTCCTTGCATATTCCAGGAAGAAACGATTCAGAAAAGTTTGGGCATATGCTGGACTTGCTCTGTGAACCTGTATGATGTAAAAGCAAAACATACATGCAAGAAACTCCTCACAGGAATGAGCAGCCAGTGTGTCTAAACAGTAATGACTATTTAATGTTAGCATTCATCTACTCAAGATTGTAAGTCAGGAAAAAATGCATATACAGTATCCTAAATACTTTCTAGATTCAGTTAGTATGAAGAAAAATTCAACAGTGACATTCTTTAACATGAATCCATCTGTTTCAACAATCTAACTTACTGAGAAACAGGAGATAGTAAACCCCAGCCAATCTAAAATAACTGAATGCATAAAAATATTTGGAGCATCTTGTATTTCAGAAAACAAGTTTGTAAAACCTTATAAAAAGCTTGGGGAAACCTCAGTAGTTGAATAAAGAGCAACAACTAAAGAAAACAAAGTTTCCAAGTTATTGGATCAGGATTCAAGCTTTTTCTCCAGTTAACCCATGTAGTTACATGGAGTAATGTTTTAGGCAAGTTTCTTAAATAATGTTCATAAAGTGCTGGTCAGGAAGTTTTTGCCCTAAGAAAGTGTAATCAAAAATACAAAACCCCTACTGTTAACAGCCTAACATTACAAACTTGAAGATATCACAAACAGGACATTTTTAATTTTGCTTTCCAACCCATGCTGCTTTTTTAAAAAACTATTACAAATGCACATGTTTTCTGCATGTATGAGGTTCAAATTCTCAGTATGAAAAGAAAAGTGTTCTGCCATATAGCAAGTACCTGATATATAGGAAGTCTGTATATTCTGAATGGGTTGCAATTTTATCTCAGACAAACATCCAGAAATTCTCTTGTTCTTCATGAAACTTCTACTTCTAAGAAAGGATGATAAAATAAAAGCATGAAAAAATGTCAAAAGAAAAGAATCTCTCTCCTCGTAGCCACTGAAGTTCAATGAATATTGACAGACATCAGGCAAACAACATAAATATCTACTTTTAATTAATGGAACTTTTGAACACAGAACCTAAACCAGAGTGAAAGCAAGTCAATACAGCCCATAGAATGGATCCTACTTACTTTGTTCAGGCTCTTGCTAGTACAGAGGGATCTTCATTCCATATACCCGTTTTTAATCTAATGTCCTACTACTGGATTACTATAATCCAGAACTAATTGTCAATGGTCATACACAAAACCCTCTAGCACTGATCAGGCATATGCTGCATGTATTCTAGACCTGACCTCAGAATCACTGCTGTGACATCTACCAAACTGCTTCCTGGGCACATAATTTTTATCAGCAACATGTTGTATATTAATTAACACACATTTCATAAGTGGCATGATAAGGTAACATATTTAGTTTCAACTTTTCGCTCCTCCTCACAAAGTAAATCAAAATTTATGGATATAACTGACATTATAATAAGGTAAAAGAAGAATTAATAAATCATTATGTTAGTGACACAAAAACATATTCAGATAATTACAACATTTTTTGCTTTAAGTGTAGAAGAGGAGTTATAAATTAGTATTACCTTCTTCTGGAAAGAGAAGAAACTGATGTGTCTGAAAGGTCAGGTTCCCACTCATCAGCAGGATCATAAAACACATCGGCAGCTTTATTTCTATCATTACTCTGAAAAAAATAAAGAAAACAGAGGGGAGGAGTAGAGTTAAACAGAAATAAAGTGACAAAGTATTCAATACAAGAATGAAGACAATGTGTTCTATTAACAGAAGAAGAGTAGCTTTAATGTTTTGGTGTATTTTCAGATATATATGTTTACTGCTTCTTACTCAGCACAAAAAATGACCTCAATAAAGTCATTGATTTCTATTGTCCTCTTTCTGTATGATGGATAATTGCATATACATGTGTCTTGGCATTTAAGATGACATAAGACCCAAAAAAAACCCCAAGGTTTTCCTCCTGTATGGATTATCAAAAACTTATCTTTGACAAAGTTTTACTTAGTATTAGTGTTTATTCTTCAGCTACTACTGACCTCATACAGTTCTTTCATTGCTGCTAGTTTGCATTCAAATTTCTCTAGACTCCAAAAAGTTGCTATTCCCAGCTTGATGTTACGAACCTGCACCTGCACAGCAGACACTGCTCCCGTTTTATCATCAATTTTATCGTGCCTAAGAACGTGGGAGAGTTAAAAGACAAATATCAAGACAAAACACATTATTCATATTGCAAAAAATAAACAAGATACTTGTTTATTATACAGAGAATAAAAACATGATACAAATTTCTTGAGGCATCATGCATCTAACCAAACCAACCTAAGAGGAGCTGTCATTTTTATGTAAAGGAAAATAGGACTCCCTGCATTCAGAGGCAGAAGTGGATACCAGCAAACAAATTCCTGGCTCCCAAGAAATTCAGAGCCAAATATAGGCTATAGAATTCTACTAACAGAGTTCTTATTGAAGGAAAATACAACAACTGGAAAACCAGTAAAACATAAACCTCCTAGCAAGTCCTATCTTACCTACATTTACTGTAGCAATTGTTTTAAATGATACAGTTTCCTCTGCACTAATACATCTCTGTCCATGCTAAGATCTGAACAACATACAGGTCCACTTCCAGAACATTCTTCAGCTACAGCTATCAAGTAGCTTGGCATAGCAAGAGATCTGTGGAGTGAAACAACTGCTCCCAAAGGCTCCATATCCACTGAGGTTTTTACTTTGAGCTACCCCTGTTCCAGGCCTGTGAACTGAGTGGCTGGCACAGCAGCCTCTGTTCAGTTTTGCCTGACAGGAACACAGTGTGTTTTAGGACTACTGCAATATGTGGACATGGGCATCAGAAGATTCACCTCCAAAGCACATTTAATCCAAAATTACTTGTCTATAGCCATACCTTTAAAGTTTTGATCTAAAATTCAAATTTGAAATTCCCACTTCAAAGTAACGAGGCTGAACCACACACTTAACTAAAGCTACTTTGGAAAGTTTATTTATCGTGTTCAATGTTGTGAGATTGTTAAAAGTAAAACCAACAGCTCCTTGCACATTCAGAATCCACTCCTTAGTTATAAATATATATATATTATATACAATCCCTTATAATTAACTGACTCAGATACTCACCTGCAGAAAACAGTGTTCTTCCCCAATGCATTACTAATGGCATTGGCCTCTTTGACCATCACAGACAGCTTCAGAGACTTCCAGTTCAGTGGAACTAATAAAGAAGATAGAACATAATGATTAAGTGGATCAAACAACGTGATGCAACAACTTAGGGTTAATTAAAACAAAAAAAAAGGCAAAAAGGAAACCAATCCAAAAGCACAGCACAAACATAATTCAGCCAATATTTCCATGAATTCCCAGTAGACTGGGAAAAAATGACCCTTCCAGGTAAGGTAACCCTTTTAAAAGGTCAGATAAAGGGTATTTCAGAAACAGAGGCATAACACCAGACACTGTGATAGAAAACTAGACAAAATGAATTCTGTTACTTCAGTTTCCCCAAGGAGTTAATGCTTGACCAGTTCAGACAGAAGAGGATGGACTCTTAAGCAGCTGGGATAAATGCAGACTACATGTGTATCTACCTAACCACCCTGAGTCCAATTAAAACTGAGCTTTTAACACAGTCAGATAGACACAGCTTAGGAATAGAAAGGCTTGTAACAACCAGAAGGCTCTTGTTGTTCAGGGCAGTGTTAGGGGAACAGAAAGAGCTCCTGTATCTGTATCCATGGCCCAAGCCCACTGAGCAAAAGAGAAGTCAGCATTGTCTTTGCAACACGTGTATACACACTTGTCATTGTTCTGTTCCCACTCCCACGGTTCTTCTGGAGAGTGTGTATTTCTTCAGCAATCTTCTGCTTCTCAGCTTCCAGAGCTTCCAGTATCTTTGCATGACGAATAGTATGGTCTTCTAGAGCCTGGGGAAAACCAGGCAGTGATTAAAAAGAAAAAAAAAAAAGAATTTAAAACTCTTAATGCTGTTTATTGAAGCTAAATTTTATGTTCCTGACATTTTAAAGACTCTCACAATGAAATTGATACTGAACATCTGCTATATTCATAGGAAATCCTTCATTTTCAAACTGATGTTTTCCTGCATTTGCTCCAATATTGCAAAGCTTAAAAAATACTGGAACTTAAAAAAGAAACAGCTTTTAAAAAAATCAAGTCATATTTGTTGCAGCAGTCAGATATATATCAACACCAGTCAAGAACCAGTCATTAGTTACATTAATGTCTAGAGAAATAACTTTTGCCACAGGCAACAGTCTCTAGAGTTTGGTAAGGAACAAAACCATCCACGTTATATAAGGAATAAGGTCAGCATTAGTTAATCCCTAACATTAATACAACATCATACTCAGTTCTTCTACATAAAACCATGTAGAAGAAAAATACTTCAAAGCATTTCCTTTACAATAATTGGTTTTTAAAAACACAACAACAAAATAAAGCCCCCCCAGACAAACCAGTTTATTGCCTAAAAAGCTGCTTTTTTAAAAATTACCTGCTTGGTAGCCAAGGTCTCCATTTCTAAACGTTTCTTATTGAATTGTAGTTCTAGCTCTAGGTTTTGCTTTGCCTTCTCTAGCTCCTGTATTTTAGTTGCAGCTTTTTGGTTATTCATTTCTTGGATTTGCTTCTTACGAGATTCTTCTCTCTGATATCAAAAGGGAGAGATGAGGGCAGGCAAATCACTTCAACAGCATTTCTGACCCATGCCTTATATAGATATTAAGGTTTATTTTCATTTAAAAATGAAAACTTTTAAAACATGCAGTCCCTACAGCCTACACAGCCCAATGTCAGCAGTGAAAGGTTATATCCCACACTACAAGCATCACTGTCTCCCGTAGAATATTTAAGACATAAAATACATCATCATTATTATTTTCCCATGCTGTACATTCTATGCCAACTTATTGTATGTTGTAAAAGCATTGGAAAAACTAACAAAGTAGCATGCCAACCTGGAAAGAAAAAAAGCCATATTAAGCAATATACTGTAGTAATATATTATAGTAATTTTAAAATCTCATGGAATAACTTAAATTCTGTAAATTGTATGCAAAAAAAAATACCTACAATCTCTAGGATAACTCTGAAGGGGATACTTAGTTGTCAACTTCTTGTGTTACTAAGACTTTTTTTTCAAAAAAGAATGAGGCATTCTCTAAGATACTTAGAATATTCAAGACAAAAAACCCACATCACAAACAAACCAACCCCAACCAAGCACCAAACAGATACCACAAGGTACAGTTTTTGTCATTGATATGTTTGATGTAATGATGCAATGGCAACTTACCACCTCTGCTTCCAGTGACTTTATTTTGCTTTCATAAGCTTCTTTTTGTGAGGTCAGCTCTTGTTGAACCATCTCTTTTGCAATCTGGACACTTTGCATCATTTCTTCCTTGGCTTTGAGCCGAGCCTCTTCAATTTCTGATTCCAGACTACAAGTATCATACATTTAGAACACTGCCTTTCATCTCTTATAGGCTGCATAGAGATTATCAACTTTTTATTCCTATCATGAGAGTTTGTTAAGGTGTTGGTTTTGTTGTGGGTTTTGTTTGGTGTTTTTTTAAATTTTCATACTTCACCTATTTTACATTTCATAGGGAAAATGTAGACACTGGTAAATATGAAAGACATTCCAGAATTTTTAAGTCCACTCGATTTCCATTTTCATTTTATTATATCACTTTCACAAAATTAAGTACTGTAATGGAAACCCACTAAATCACATTAAGATGGGACAAGTAAATTTTAAGTCAGTGAGTCTGGCACTCTGATAACTCCCAGGAATGAAGCAAGTACAAATAACACTTCACCATCTCTCAAATTCTCCCTCATCAGGTAAGACTAAGGTTATAACTTTGGGTTCTTCCCATTTTCCTAAGGCATTTACGTTGCAGGCTTTAAATCTCTCCAAAACACCAAAAGTAACTTTCAGACTCATCATATGCTTGGAGAGAAACACAACCAAAGAGACAGACTGCTTTGAGGAGCCTGGAGCTCAGTGTTTCTCTAATCATGGTCTACATTCCTGATAACTGAACTGGCTTGTGCTGATTCACTCTTAGAGGTTCACTCTCATTTCAGCTATGTCTGGGACTTCCATTTCCATTACAAATTACAAATAGTGTTGTTGTTTTCCCTTATTGTGAAATAACTGAAGGTTATTAATTATTTCTTAAACTAACTGCATGGTTGAATTAACTATTAAATTTATCTAAAGAACAAGAAGAACTAATGCTTACTGTGTTCTCTGTGCAATAAGCAGCTCGTTCTTCGCAAATTCAAAATCTTTTGGACCATCATGCAAGCACGTGGTCCCACAAGAAGGTGTTTTAACTTTCTGAACCTCTGCTGGATGATTAAACCTGAAATAATGGTCTCCCCCAAGGATCACTCGATCACCCTATTGGGAAAAAAAAAGAATTCTTCTAAAAATATAAATTTATAAGCAAAATTTTTCAGTGCTTAAACTACAGCAGGCAGGGCTAGAAATCAAAGATGAAGAGATAAACATTTACAGTTACAGAGCCTTCTAAGGAGGCTGCAGTCTGAAGCTGAAATTTTTAACAAAGCAAAGAAATCCACACATGCACATATTACTATTATCAAATCAATCACTTACGTGATGCAGAACTGTTGGCTCCAAAATGCATTTCCCATTTACATATGTCTTTGCTTCTCTCAGTGGAATAATACTTACTTGGCCGACAGCATTTTTTATAACGCTGAAAACAAGAAACATTTACAGTATCAGTAGCTCATAATAATTGCAAGTGATATTTCTTACTAGACTAAAATTCATGCTTTAGATTGTGTTCTGTTATTGCCTTTCCAAATGTGTATTGTCTTCATACTACTTAGTCATAACACACATAATTAAGAAATGACAACCTATACTTTGGAAGGAACCTATATTTAAATCTAAGAATCCACTGCTAAAAAATTACTAGAATACCCTGAGCATTCCTTTCATAACACTTAATTTCCCAACATATCTGCATCTTTCATGGGTTTAGTAAGTGATTAGTTAAGTGTCTTACAGCCTTTTGTCTGGGATCAATTGCACAGAATGCACTTGAAACAGTATTTCTGCAGTATGGCCAAACTGATCTCTATTTTTATTGAACTAAGAACTGTCAAGACATTTCATTTTTCTAGTGAACTAAATGTAACAGAGTTATCTACCACAGAACATGATTTGATCAGGTCTCATTCATGCAGAAACACTGCAGAAGATTTTGCTACATGAATGAGATGAACAAAGAAATTAAACTACCCCAGTCAACAGATTTCTTAGAGGGAACAGAAGGAAGATGCCTTAATCATTAACCAGTAAAAAAAAAATATCCCTAAATGTTATTTTCTTGGCTAGAAAACCATGTTTTGTTACTGCCAGAAGAAAGAGTGACTCCAAAAGAAAGGGAGGAGTGAGAAGAAACATTAAGCATAAAAATAACACTACATACCAATGGTCATCAGCAATCAGCACTCCAGAAAGCTGGATATCATGTTTTGAATTTGGTTTACACCTTCCAACTGTAGTTTCTCCTTCTTTGATCATATACAACAGCACCTCAGAAAGCTGAGGATCTTCACTGAGATTGACAAGGTTTGGTAAATGATTGTCCATTTTGAATGCAATTCCAGCTTTCTAGATAAAAAGAGAGCTCTGCATAAAAATATAATTTACTTTGTGCATTCAAATATCTACTTTAAATATTCCTATAGTCACAGCAATCTGTTAAAAGAATAGTATTAGGGAAACCAAACCTTACAGCTACTCCCATTATTCTGCAAGGTTTGCCAATGTTATATTTCTGTATTATCTCCTATAGAAAGAAAAATGTACCTGCAATTCCTCTATATCTTCCAATTTCCTTTTTTCTGCTTGTTCAAATTTTTCTTTCCAGGCCCTTAACATATTAAGAGAAAATAACGCAACATATTAGGAGAAAAATGACGGCATATAAGTCTTACTATTTCTATTTTCAATTAAGACATTCATGACTGCCTGACCTTTGCATTTCTGCCATGTTCCTCTCCTGCTGGTGCAGCTCTACCCTCAAAGATGTTATTTCCTGCAAATAACGCCTGTATTTTTCACGATCAGTGTTCAGAGCACTTTTCTGAGCTGCCTTCATCCTTTCAATTTCAGCTTTCAATTCTACATCAGACAAACAGACACAGTGCCCATAAGAAACAAAGACAAAAGAGGGTATAGAAACTTCAGTACAATACTAGAAAATTCATCCTGTTATTCAACTGAAAAAACAAAACACATTTCCCTATTCCAGGTTCTCAGGTGTAACCTAAGATATCACTTAAACTTCGGGGAAAAAAAGCTCACAAAGAACAATGATATTGAAAGGAAGACAATCCCAGGTTGTATTAGCCTAGTTGACAAGCAGTCAGTCAACACAACAGATTATCAGTAGAAAAAACTCTTATGAAGCAATAAGTTAAACACATGTGCAAGTGAAAAACCCTCAAAGACTGCAGATGTCAATCTCACCTCTGATTAACTTCACATTTACATCTTCATTCACTTTAGCAACGTTGATAATTGAACAAGCTTGCTTTGCATAGCGAAGGGTGCTGAGCGTTTCCTCCGTGCTGCTGGCAGCTGGACTCACCGTGGCAATCATCGTCGTCTGGGAATTCCCACCAAGACTTTCCTTCAACAACCTTCATTTCACAGGAGAATACAAGTCAATCCCTGGCCCTCACGTTGAGAGAAAAATTCACAACTCCTCAAACAGAACAAATTAAATAAAAAATACTCAGGGTCTTGCTACTTATTTGAGAGGGAACTGTTAGCTACTTAAAATACAAACCGAGGTCCTGTTTGTTCTTTACCTGATGCAACAGGCTAATTTCTTCCTTCCATAGGTCATTTGAGAGAGAGAGGAAAGTGATGCCTCATGAACAGATAAAGAAAACCACAATCTCAGAAAGCCTCTACTTCTATATAAAAAAAAATTCTGAAGTGTACATACCAAGTAAGGACAGATTCCCGGTAAGGAATGAAAGTTTTCTTTCCATTTTGAAATTGTTTAGAGAGCGCAGAAATAACCCTTCCAAGGGTTAACAGCGATTTATTGATACTCACACCTTCCTACACAAAGCAGAAATAAAAGTATAATACAGTTGCATCTTCTTGTGTGATGTTATTGACTCTACTGTTGATTAATTATGCTTGTTCAATGTATGGTACAGCTGTACCACATTAAATGTTACCACTTATTAAAAAAAAAAAAACAGTAAGATGCAAGAGCAATCTGGAACATCTTCATTTGGAAAGAACCAAGACCCTGCCTTTAAAATAAGTGGTGTTAAGAGCCATCAAACTTATGAAGGCAGTTTGAAATAAAGACCCTTATTAGAAACTCGATTTAATTAGATTCCTGCAAAGAGGGGCAAGACCCAACTCTGTGATAGTTGATTCACTATTTGCAAAGTCACACCAACAGTTTTCCCTCGCTCCTCCAGCAGGATCATTAGACCTGCATAGCATGGGAAGTGCTGTTCTAAGCAAGATGGACCACGTTGCACAGTGCAAACACCTTCTTCAGGCCACCCACCCTCCCAGCAAAACGTGATGTAATACTTATAAGGGCTATACACACCCTTCACAGCTACAGTTCCTGCCCAGGAGTCCCACTAGGTGAGCATGCTTTGGAGTTTAGGGATATCATTAGGAGTCAATCATTTTCCACAGATTTCCAGTCCTGATTTACCTTCAGCCTCTCTCCAGTGGTCTGAGCTTTTGCACAGCACTCACTGCCAGCGAGATCAATTAAATTGATGTGACTGGTAAGCCTACGATCACACTGCTCTTCATTCACAAATTCTACCTGGAAAAAAAAGGGAGATGTTGGCATTCAAACCAAAATAAGAAGCCCGAGGACAAGTAGAAATCTGACAAGCCGTTCACAGTAAACACATTAAAAATCGATGCTTCCATTTAATTTTTGACAGGATATCCTCATGTACATCCCTTGAAGGAGAGGAAGTTCAGATATTAACCATAGAATCAGTTGGCTGTGGTTGATTAACTGCATAAGCATAATCTGCAAACACAACAGATTACCAAACTGTGGATTTGGGTCTGAAGTTTGACTATTGCAGTTATCCAAAAAACATGGAAATCAGTAAGCTATTACTGACCAACCAAGATCAGGTAAGTAGTCAGTGGAAAAGGCTCAAGACCAGTTATGATAGAGAAAATCAACAATCTAGTGGCGAGAATGGTAAGGGGGAAGGAGGAAAGAAGATCAGGAAACTGGAATGAAAAATTAAACCAAACAAGAACACAAAACCCACAAACCAACAAGTTATTTGTTCATGGAGAAAACTGACAGTCTGTGGACTCCTGAGGATCTCTACCTATTTCACTTCTGTCTTCAGGCTCAACTCGCTAAGTCAGGTTTTGTCTTTTAAGCATCTGTAAATCGGATGAGGAGTTGTAGTCCCTGTGTCCTAGGGACACATGGGGGAAGAGAGGCATCCTGAAGCAAGGAAACATTTGTTCAGTAAATTGTGCTGAAACTGAGCAGAAACTGCATCTCCTACCGTTGTCCCAGTCCATCACTTGCAGGAACACAGCACAGCTATGGCCCTCACACAGCCTAAACTTCTCAGAAGCTAAGATGTGTTGGCAGCAGTGTGAAATTTGGTCTGGCCTCAATTAGGATTCCTGTTATATCTCAAAACTCACACTGAGAAGCTTGGAACTGCTCCTAGATCTGTCAGTCTAGACCATATTTATATTGCTGCTATAAATATATGTAGCACAGAGACATAAGAATTTACTCAAAGCACGTAAAAGAAAACAGCTTTTGCTGTGTAGAAAGCCACATTAAAATGCCCTGTGCTTTTCTCAAAGATCTTCAAGTATATTCTCACAACTTTCTAGGCAGCACACAAAACTTTTTACTACCCCATCTGAGCAGATATAAAAAAAAGAACAACCCAGTGATACCTTGGTCTGCGTCATGACAAGGGTGAAGACAGAATGAGATCTGGAGCTCTTGTCATTCATTACCGTAGCAGCTGTTGCTCTCTGCTTATTTCCCAGTTCAAGCCAACTCTGTAAGAGAAAAAAAACTTAGGATGTGAAACCAAAACCTGCTTGGGAGAGTTAATTGAAGTTTTTTATGTTTGCCAATAAAGTTATTAACAAAAATCATGACTGCATGGGAAGAATGAAAACTTAAACTTAAGAGATCACCATGTGAAAAGTGTCACTTAACTGTATGAATCTACTCAGCTCCATTATATTGGACTAGTCTTCACTATCCTTTTACAAAATCAGCTGAAACATCATAGACTACTGGACAGTCTGCACTTTCTTCCCATCCATGGAAATTATTTTTCAGCAGTGAAGAAAGGAGCAAGTAGAAATATTTGTATTCTCTTTTAATAACCAAACAACTCTTACCTGAATATCAGAGTAAGAACGAACAACATTCCTAAAGTGAGGGGAAAAAGAAAAGTTTGGGTTCAGACAGTTTTCTTTCTATAGTTTTCCCTGTTGTCTGAGTTCTGAAGCATTTTCCCAGTTACAAACAAAACACAAACACACAATGAAAGCTTCAGTTGCCTTGAGACTTTCACACACTTATTTCCCTAGGACAGTGCACCACAGGTATGAGTTTCTCTAAAACTACATGACACTGAGCTCTTGCTGGATTTACTGGTGAGTACACAAGCTTTCACAGAGCCTCAAGATCCCTACTTCACTCTTTCAGGATTCCACCACACATCTTTTAAAATACAAACAGTAAAGACTTACACTGTCAGGCCTTCCACATATGGTCCTAACACTGGATGTTCTCTTACACGAAGCTGGTGAGAGTAATTTCAAAATAAAAAGTATTAGGAGTGCATCAGTTAGATCTAGCACTCAGGAGTATCTTAAAAGGAAAAAAAAACATTCTGCAACAAAAATCTTTTATGTTTCCAAGTAGCTTACCTTAAAATCACTGACAAAATTCACTCCTGCCTTAGACAAGACACTATAGTCTTAACTTCTGTATAACAAGTCCACCTAAGTCTCAAGCTTATGTTAAAGGACTTATTTCAAGAGCAAACTGAATGTACTGTATCATCTTTATCATAAACTAATACTCGAGTTTATACACAAGTGGCCAGTATAGAGTTCAATGTCAAAGAACAGAAAATACCTTTTTTGATAAATCAGATATAATAAATTCCTTCCTACACACCTCACGTAAGACAAATTTCTTTAATTTATGTTTTTTCTTATTCTAACAAACACTACAAACTAGCTCAACTAGTTTAGTGATATAGTGATATTCTTATTTGTTTGGTTTTTACTTTAATCCCATTATTCACAACTAAGTTACTTAGATAGCAAATCAATGATCATTTGCCAATTGTGCATTTCTGTTTACAGAATAGATGCCACTGCTTGGAGGTTATGCATACACTTGTTTCTGTGAGCAACTTACTTGCTGTTTTTTCTGTCCATTTTCAGCTTTAAAGACAAGCAAATCATGGATTTTCTCGTTGTATATTTCAAAGAAGCTCATTTCAAGATGATACAAAATCTAATAAAATTAATAATAAAAGAGGTATTAGTATGGTGCACAAAACATTTTCATTATTGTTTGTTTCAAAAATTAACTTAGATTGCCAGATCCTGATATTCAATGTTATAAGCATTTATACTGAAAGGATTTTCCAAAAGAAATGATATCATAAAACAGTTTGGGTTGTAAGGGTCCTTTAAAGATCATCTACTTGCTAATATCAAGAACACAAATTTACTGGAATTCCATGCACAGCCATTTCCAGATGGAAGCTATCAAGCCTTAAAAGAAGTACTATAACATCCACCTCAGAAGTTTCAGCGTTGGGTTTCAACAACAACAGCAAAACAAAACCAAACAATCAAACAAAACCACACCAAAACTTTCAATGAAAACACATCTCTTTCCTCTAAAGGCATGAAGGTTGTATTTTTGGGTTCTTTGGGGTTTTTTTGTTTTGTTTTGTTTTTTAAGTAAAATGAAATTTTCTTTAAGAGACAAGGAAGATTGCAGCAAAACCTCTAAGACTCTGAAGTCAGAAATACAAGATTCAAGACAACTTGCTGCAACAGAATCACTTACAATGCATAAGCAGAGGAATAACAAAAGCTCTGCATTTTCCAGAAGTTATACTCTCTAGCCAAACTCAGCAACAAAGATTGCTGGTTACTTCTTAATTCCTCATTGTCTATCAAATCCACTGCAGGATCAGAATATTATATGTTCACTGGCATTAGGATTCAAAATCCAGAATTCAAACAAAGCAATAGAGAAATTTGGAATAGTTAAAAAGGGAAAAGTTTGCCTGCATAAGCTTAACTGAATGTTAAGGTCTACTGAACTGCAAGTCATTCCTAATAGACGTGAACAATTACATAGATAAAGCAAATGCAAAGAAAGTGAGAGTAGTTATTTTTTATTTCAGCAAGAATACTGAGCTAGAATAGGAATACTATTGAAGTGTGTTTTGCTTTGATACATGATGTTTAACAATACATTCATATCTTTCATGTTCTGTTCTACTGCCTCCACTGCAAGTGTGGAGCCCACTGGGATTTATCTTGCCCTACATAAATCTTATATTGTAAGACATGCAATATAGAGAAAAGAATCCTAGTCTAGTGATACATTAAAAATATCATGCCCATATTTTTTCACATTATTGCCATTAAGGAAGTAAAACAATGTTGATTTTGACTACTTAGGGAACCCTGTCAGTCAGAGCTACCAGCAGATATAAGATTTGAGGTAGCAAAAGAATATGAACATTAATAAACAGATTAGCACTAAGTTATCAGTTTCCTCATAGTCCAATGTAAGGTCAGTAGCATAAGCACATCACCTGTTCCTTGTCCATCTGTGCTATTTGGTTGAAAAGATCTTCACAAAGTCTTGGAATTATTCCTCGGTCTTCATCAAATCCCATCATCCTGTGGTTACAAAAAACCTGCTAGTTTAGCTTTGTAACTCTCTGTAGAGACTTTAGCTGTGCATCTCTACAGCTGACATGCCATATGCTTTTGTGTTATAGAAGTAATGAGCAACAGAAATAAATCTGATCTGAGTTGATGCTTTTTTAAGCAGGGAGTTGGACAAGATGCTGTCTGGGGGTATTTTCTATTTAATCCATTGAAAAATGGCCAAGGTTAAAAAAACTAATGTACATAACAACTGAGTTCACACTTGAAAAGGAAAACTCTACTTCTAAATTCTGTATCTATTGCAAATTGAAGAGAAATACTTTTGGTCCTCAGCTACCAATATTAAAAGTTTATATGGCCTCATGGAAATTACAAAACTCAGAATTAATTTCAATAGATTCATGTTTAGAAACCAAACAGTTCACCAGGCATTCTATTGAAAAATATAAATAAGGTATATACGAACAAATGTCTCTTGTCTGGGGTTTCATGCAAAGACATAGGGATCTATTTTTCAAAGTTTTCAAGCATCAGGACCATAATTAGAGTGATCTCTTAAACGTCTTCCCCAAACAACATGCTATACTTCTCTATGTCACTTCAAGCACAATACAACCAACAGTGGTGAACAACAGCAACACTGGGAGAGTCTGAGAAACTCTCAGCATTAATGAAGGTTTCCCTTCACTAAAATCTCTTGAAAGAGGTGTGTTTATTTTCCACTAGAGGTAATAAGAAGTCAGTGTCAGATACATAAAAATATTCTAAAGCTAACTTTGGCTTAATTACTATAGATATTTGTTCAAATATTTTTGTTTTAAAATACACAAAAGCATTTTGACAAAATTCTGTAACACTGGAATCTGTTCCATATAATCTTTTTTCACGACTTTACATTGCATAACAATTAGGCTCCTACAGAATTTTGACAATTCTTATCAGGAACTTACGTGTATGATTTTCCAGAACCAGTCTGCCCATAAGCAAAAAGACAAGCGTTGTATCCCTCAAAAGCTCTTTCAAGGAGTGGCACTGCCAAAGCTTGATAAATAACTGCTTGGCTTGCAAAATTAGGATGACACTTGTCAAAAGACCAGAAGGAGAAGTCATAACTGAAGCTGTAAACTTGGTTTGTGGATGGATTTTGTACAGTCGTCTCTGAACCACTCATGGAGATTACAGGGGGTGAGTTTTCAGTTTTCTCTCTTCATGGAAAGGGAGGGAAAAAAAACCAAAAACCATAATAAGTATAAGCTACATGCTTTAAGTTAATAATTTCAATCAAAACAAAAAGAAAAATAAAAATATTGGTGATCATTGTGAAAAATATCTGTTTGATCAACATATAAAGTATTAAAGATCAAAACACTGTTAATGAATATGTAAAAAATAGACCCAAATACCTATAAAGTCAATTCAGTTTCTTAATAAAATCTTCATCTTGGTGTTTCATGGAGTATCAGCTAATTTGAAAGCATATATATTATATCCTTATTGGGTAAAGATAAAACAATCCAACAAGTACAAAGCAGAACTCCACATACACTACGAGCAGCAGAAATAAGTCCAGGATACAAACCTGTTACTGAAGGGCCGTACCCGCACAGCCACAATCACTTTGCTGTTTTTCACTTTGAAAACATCTCCCTCAGTTCCGCTGCTCTCAGCTAAAGCTTCTGTGTTCACTTCTGTTTCTGAACTTCTCCTCCCAGGAAGAGAGCTGGAGACACTAGGGGTCTTTTTGGCTAAAGTTTGAAGATGAGGTGTTCGCTCATTTGAGGCCAATTTGAGAGACAGTTGATCTTGAGAGGTGCTGTTCTTTGGTGTAAGCTTCAACCCTTCTGTTAAACCTTTTGCTGGTGTCCTCGGTCTTTCTAAGCTGTTATGTTTTATCATTATGTGCTGTACCCTTTGCTTTCCAGCTACCTTATTTATATTGCCTTTTTCATTCAGATCTCCTGATAGACTATTAATACATTTTGAGGTAACTAATTGTTCCGATTTAGGAACTTCATTTTGAAATTTTGTATCAGCAGTGCCTGTCTTCTCTTTTAAACACGTGGAGACAACATTTTTACAGACACCATCAACAAAGCCCAAGGAACCCTTGCTGTTGAGGTTACACTGCAATTTGGTACTGGATTGACTCTCAGCTAACTTCAAGCTTGGTTTAACAACATCAGTATCATTAATATTCTGTGGAAGTGTAATCTTGTCATTTCTTTGTGCATCAGCTGGTAAGTTTTCTTTTCTAGGCACAATATTCTGATTGCTATTACTCTTCCCAGCGGAGCCAGTCCTCACACGCCTGCGCAGGGTAAGCCTTTTCTCCGTTTGTAGCTCTTCCATGCCCTGTGTTGTGTTTGTATGCAACAGTTCACTACTGGACACTAATTTTTTGCTTGCTCCAGTTCTCCTCCGAAGGGTTAACCTGCCTTCAGATGTAAAAGTAGTTGACGCGTCACCCACTTTTTCACAAGCTGAAATCACGTAGGTCCTATTTACTTCCTCAGTCTTATTCTGAGAACATGGAAGTAGAGTATTCTTTTCTTCTCCCAACACCTGTGCCTTCAGCTGCTGCCCAGATGCTTTCCTGCTGGCAAAGGTGTCATTCGAGGAAGCCTTCTGTAAAGCGACAGTGCATCGTGTCCCAGCAGGGCTTCTGGCAGGAACTGTGTAAATAGGCATGCTGCCTTCCAGCCCGTTAAAGCTTGGTTTTTAACAAGCACAGCACCTTTCCTAAAGGATTATTTCTAGTTGCTGCTTCATAAGGAATCTGGAGAGACAAAGCAAAAGTTTTTTTTAGGTTTTTTTTTCCCCCTCACATCCAGTATGAGTTATGTTTTGGTGCATGGGGAGCTCTTTACATAAACTGCAGTACCTGCTCCCAAACATAAATAAAAATTAGTACCTGTTTCACCTCCAGTACTTACAAAAAAGTCATTAGTTTATATTTGAATGACTGCTTCCAACAACAACAGGTTATTTGACTTTATTTATTGAGTTCTATGATTTGTTTCAGAAAGCAAACCAAATATCACAAAGACGCACCTGTTGGTAAAAAGAACAATCTATTTTTATTTATTTTTCATTATTATTATTTATTTATATGTATATTTAGCAACAAAGATGACCATGGATATTTCTTCCAAGTGATCTACCATGATCCCCAAAGTAAGGAAATTCCAGATCATGCCTCCATTCACTCCCAGCTATTTACACTCTTAGTGTTTCACAGCTAACAGACTCCAATAGAACAAAAAAGTTAATCTTGAATAAGAAGTCTGTGAACATGGAAAGCAGATTTTTTTTTCAGGATTTTGATATGTAATATCAAACCCACTATCAGAACAGGACAGTTAATAAAGATGCCTATTAACAGTACCTTTGGACATTATTTTAGTTCACTCTAATACATAGGCCCATAGCAGAACAAAAGACACCTAGCCTAGGGGACACAAGAAAACTGTAAAATATGTTCCCCATCCTTCCTACACATAAATATTTCAAGAGCTCTATATATGCAATCTGTATAGGAAAGTATGTTTTCACTCTTGTATCTGCATCATAGATTATTGGGTTGTTACAGGTTTGGTATCACTACCCGCTGTGGACTTGCCAGCTGCAATTAATTCACTGCTACAAGAAGTCACCTGACTTAGATCCTTAAAAACTGCATCTATCATTAACAACAGCTGTACGCGGTCGGGGAAAAAACGGGAAGCAAGATGAGAGCGAGGGAGGGAGAAGAAACCGTCTAACCACTGCTCCAGTAGAAGTTTACTTTAAATGCTACACTCTTGAGTTGTAACTTTCAAAGTACTCTCAGACTTTATGCAATTACATCCACTTTAACATGTCATGACTACACACTTTTCATGGCTCACAAACTGCGAGGAAAATATCAAAAACTTCAAACGAGAGCGTATTTGTTGCTCAATCCAGTTTGAGACAGGAAACTCACACGAGCTGTAAAATATCAATTTTGTGGCTCCCTCTGGCAACCAGTAAGTAGAGAAACACGGCCGTAGGACATGAATGGTTTCAGTGTTTTCTGAAAAGTCCACCCTGCCCGTGCAGCTTTAACAAGCCCCGCAAGAAAGTTCTCCCCTCCTCTTGCCATAGCTGTGCCTTGTGAACACGCACAAAGTTTTTCTGGAGAAGAGTGAAACTCCCCATTAGGAGCTCTTTTCACTCGGGAGAGCCGAACTCAGAACGAGAAGTACGCTCGCTCCTCGTTTTTAAAGGATTCCAACCACCAGGCAGAGGTGAAACCCCCGCGCCCAGAGCTGGGCGAAGGCGCAGGAGGACCCGCAGCCCGGCTGTCCCTCAGCACAGCCCCCGTCCCTCCGGCTGAGCCCGCGGGGCTGTGCCACGGGCCCGCCCGCAGCCAGACGGCGAGGCGGCGGCAGCGGAACCCCGCGCTGCCCACAGCCCCGCGGCTGCCGAGAGCCCTCCCGCGGAGGTGCAAGCCCCGCCGGGACGTGAAGGGAACCCCCCGCCCCCAGCCTTTCCGCCCCATCCCGCCCGGCCCGGCCCTGCCCGGCCCTCACCTTCGCGCGGCGCCGCCACAACCGCCGAGCCGCCCCCGCCCCGTTTGAACGCGCCGGGCGCGCGCCATTGGCTGCGCAGGGCACCGCCCCGCGCCGCACGCCCACCCCCGCGCCGCCAGGGGGCGCCCCCGCGAGCGCAGTCACAGCTCGCTGCCTCGGATAGACCCGAGGGATGCGTGGAAAAACGGGAGAAAATGGGTGGGAAAGGAACTACAACAACTCCTAACGGCCGGGACACTTACACAGCGTTGGCACTCCGAGCAATACCAAGGGGAGAAATGAAAACAGGGTGCTCAGCAAACAATGGATCAGGCCATGAAAGATCCACTGAAATTAAAAGGTGTTAAACTAAACTATCTAAACCCAGTAAGAATGAAAGATAGCAGAACCGGGTTGCTGCTACAATTTCACTGTTACAGAACCTGCACTCGCGTTTTGTTGCTGGGGCAAACATAATGTAGAACTATTGCTGGATCTTATGACTGACAAAAGGAAATTACAGAATTTGTGCAGGGCAGGGTGCCCACGGGTAGAGAGTGTGTGCACTGCTAAACATGTGCATGCCGGAGCTAAGTTTGGCTGTAGCAGCATTACACAAAAACAGTCTATGGGCAGGAGTGGGTTATTTCAAACAAGAGAGAAAAATCAACTAATTCCATCTCTAAAGGAGACGTTGTTTTGAGACGATGCCAAATTAAAAGTAACACTAAAAGCATGACAACAGTTGTACACATTGTGGTGAACTATGGTGAAGGGGAAAAAATGTTGCAAACTGTGTCAAAGGAATTCAACACTCATAATGTGTCTTTGGACAGACCCCAACTCTCATTGGAGCTTGTGTCTACAATTCAAGATTGGCATCGAACACCCATATTCAACAACACCCATCCCTCTGTCTCCTCACATTTACAACAGGGTGCCACACTCATGACATCTGTCCTGCAGGATGTAAAACCCACTGTTTTCATTTCTAGTTGGGGAAATTAAAAACAACAGTAAGCCACTAAGCTGTTTTGGCACCAAAGTCAATTTATCCCATTGCTGTCTTTGGCCAAAGAACAGACATACAATGCATAGGGCTAATGCCTAACTACCTGTGACATCTCAGTCTGCCAAAAAGGGATGATGCATCACAGCACCACAAAAGGTCTGATGAAACTAACTTCTCAAGCCTTAGTTGGAAAGGGAAAAAAAAAAAGGAAGTTTCGATTATGACCTATCTCAGACTTCAGATGGGAAATCATACAACACTACCTCAATACAGTTTTGACCTCACTTCTCAAAAAAATGAAACAGCATCTGATGTCAGAGCATGGCAAGCTGTGCTCAAATAATATGACCCTTTATATATTAACTGTGTTTCATTAAAGAACACTAATTTCTTATTTATGTGGTTTATCCTACATCTCTACAATGAAGCTCCACTAATAACCAAGTACTGTCTATTGCAAAGTGCTTGAGTAGAACACCTCACTGGTCCACAGGCACTAAAGGAGAAACTAAACTATCAGTATTCTTTACAAACAAAACTTGCATATGTTCCTAAGAAACCCCCAGAGGGCATACTGGGAATTTGGAGAAATGTTCCTAGCGGAAGATTTTATGTAAGCTAACAGGAAGAGATTTTTCAGAGATTAATCTGTCACCAATTTTTAACAGTTTAAAGGGCGTCCTTTGCAAAGATTTTGTCTCAATATAATGACATAAGAATTACCAGAAGAGTGTGTCTCACAAAAAGTCTGAAACTATTATGCAGAAATACTGAAACAAAATAAAAGGTATCGTCTCAGTTCATGCTGCAAGCAAGACCAAAGATTACTGGTTAGAGCAGGGTTACAGAGTATTTTTACTAGGCACTACTGTAATTCAAACACACAGCCTGTACTTCAAAATAAAGATAAAAATGAGTCTCCTTAAAAATCTGTCAAACTTCTTTAAAAACCGCAATACACAAAGCACAATTTCATGTTTATTTTTAATCATAGTTTTATTGTAATTACATAACTATAAATATATCTTTATTACCTCTATCTTTATTACCTCTGAGAATTATTTTTGTCATGTTTTCTAATAATGTCCATAATATTATCTCCTGTTACAAGGCTATTCTGTAATTGTTTAAGTCTCTGTTGTTCCCTTCTTCTTTGGTCATGCAGATATGGGGAATTAAGCAGCTGTGGGGGAAGAATGGTGCCTGTAGGTTTTACTCTTTTCACGACGTCCCAGAAGAGTTTTTTGCTGTTGTTATTGATAAAAGTAATTGCAGTTCCACTGTGACCCAACCTTCCTGCTCTTCCAACCTGAAAAAGCGTAAATTAATTGTAAGTTATCAATACTAAATGGAAGTCCTTCAAATAGCCCTAAAGTTTACTTTCTGTTATAAAACAGCAAGTAACCTAAGTGACAGGGCCAAATCTCTAGCACAAAGCTGCTTACAAAACACCTCCTGAAGTCAGGATATGTAGATCTGAAGCTTTAGCTGAAATGCATCTAAAGTTATGACTCGCTGATGGGACATACCAGAAGTGCACTATTGATACTGAGACGTGTGACACAGCCTGCGGGCAAAAGCTTACAGTAGATCTGATCCAAACAAAATGTTTTAAAAAAAAAAAAATCTTTATTACAGAGATGTCACATACATGCATCAAGCACAAAAATGCCCTTTACTTTCCATGTGCTAGTAACTTATTTGCCAATGAAGTTCATGACTGGTTCCCTGACTATTTCATGCATATCCCACACTGCAGATGAACTGCAGCAGACAGAGGGATTATCTGGCCTTTCTTCACATAGATAGTAAAAATGGCAAACTTTGCTTTCTACAGACACAAAATTATACAACAGAGTACAAAACAGGAAGAATAATACTGCAAAAATAATTGACATGAAAACACTCTTCTAGGTTATTGTAACTTATATAGGAGAGACAAGAGCAGTGCTCTAGATTTTAATAATTTACATAAAAAACATATAGAAGAGATATCCAGCACCTTTCTTTCCTTCCTATAAAAATCAATATTCTAAAGAGGAAAATAATCTTTCTGTTTACATTTAAATTTGAATTTCCACAGGTGGATGTTGTACTTTGATATACTTTTCAAATAAGGCTTTAGCAATTTATTTATTTACCTG